ACCAGGCAGGCAGGCAGGTGAGCAGTTAGGAGCCAGGAGCCTGGATTGTGAGAGGGATGTCCCGGGGATCGGGCCTAAACCGGCAGTTGGACATCCTCTGAGGGGTCCCGAATTAGAGAGAGTGCAGGCTGGGCTGAGGGGACCCCCCCCACGCATGAATTTCATGCACTGGGACTCTAGTTTATTAATAAAGAGTAAGGCTAAAATAGTTCAGTGAAAAAAGCTAATTATAAAACATATACAGAATCACTCCATTTAAAAAATGTATATAAACTTGCTTGAAAGGCCATATATCTAAATATTAATATGTTATTCCTAAAATGTCCTTTATTTTCTCTTTTACACTTTCCCCCAGACTTTCTGAAGTGAACCTGTCTTTTCTTATTAGAGAAAAACAACATATGGTATTTTTAAAAGGAATGGAAGGTAGAGTCACAATGGATCCAATCTGCAGTTGTGTGCGAGCCCAGGCTGGATCTACTTTGTGTGGAAGTAGAGGGAGACCCTAGTGATGGGCAGCAGGGAGCCTGCAATTGCTCAATCCATTTGGTGTAAGGTTCTATGAATTTGGAGCCATTGGTATTTCAAAATCTTCAGCGAGGTTTTCTATCTGCTCTATTCATCAGAGCCTGGTGTTTTATCTCACTTGTTCCAAGTATGTAACTATTCTAGAAACTGATCTGGTGTCTTGGGGGCTCTTGGGACCTCTGAGATCAGAAACACACTAAACTCTGGCTGTCCACACCTGCTGTCACCAGTCACGGCCCCTGAACTGACCCAAATGCGAGGTAACACAGTTGTCAAACATCTGGAGCTCTGACTTGCTCTATTTTAATTTAGGAAAACATATTGTATGATTTTTAGATTATTTAATTAAAAAAATACTCATATTCTCGCCCTGGCCAGTTTGGCTAGGTGATTAGAGCATCGACCCTGTGACTGAAGGGTTGCAGGTTTGATTCCGGGCAAGGGCATGTACCTCAGTTGCAGGCTCACTCCCCAGCCCCAGTAAGGATGGTTGGGGAGGCAACCAATCGATGTGTCTCTCTCATATCGATGTTTCTCTCTGTCTCTCTTTCTCCCTTCCACTCTCTCTAAAAATCCATGGGGAAAAAATATCCTCAGGTGAATATTTTTTTTAAAAAATACACACATTCTTAATCATATTTAATTTTATTTACATTTTAGTGGGTGTAATATTTTATGGAACATTTAAAAACTTCACAACTTTAGAGCTTATTGATTAAATTGGGGAAAAAAATGGCCATATTTTTGTCTCTTTTTATGCCTATAACTCCTATTTCAGGAATATATATCAGAATTAATGTGTTTCTAAATTGGCATTTATCAAAATGAATGAACACTTTGCCCACAGAGTTGCAGTAGACCTGGATTTTCTGTATAATTCTTTCTCTACTTAACTTTATAAGGAAACACATGTCCAAACCAAGGATGGCCCCACTTTACTAGTAAGTTTCAACATGGTTTGGGTTTTACAATGTTCAAGATTTTCCTAACAACGCACCTCTTTTTTTTTTCTTTCCTTTTCATTTTTTGGTCTTAAAACACGCTCTTTTGGCTGGTTGAATAAGTTGTTACTGCCAACCAGTTGCTTTTATGGTAATTGACAGCAAAGCTGATTTTTGGAACCTTAGAATCTAAAAAGGCATTTTAGCCCAGACTTTGGAGAGGCTGAGCCAAGCTACTTGCAGAGTGAGAGCTGCAGCTGAGCGGAGTGTAGGGGGCAGTCAGACAGAAGTCTGCATGTTAATTAGCAGCAGCGAAACGTCTGCTCTAGCTCAGACTGATGGGTGCCCTCTTTTCAGCAGCATTCAGAATCCTCCTTCTCCTGTCAGATTGAGCTACTGGGTGCCACTTCTGGAGAGGAGGCGGTGAGACCACATGTCTGCAGTGGGCAGAAGTGACATGAGCCCCTGAGCACTGGTGATGGGTCAACACCCACCACTCCTTAAATACTGACAATTGACTAAAAAGGCACAAAATACTTGAACCTGATGAGAGCCAGCAAGTTTAAACTTCAAAGGAAAAGAGCATAAGAAAAAAAAACACTTTATATTTAATATAATTATTTAATGTGATAGTGAATTGTGTATTTTCTGAGTTCCCCATAAGTGATACCAGTTCTCTAAAATTCCTGGGGCATTTCCCCAGATTGTACCTCAGCATAACAAATAGAAAAAAAAAATTCCCCAAACCCCCAGGTCTTTACAGTTCTTTGCTTACCTACGAAAGAACAAATGTTTCTGAGTGAAAGGGACCCTGTTTTCTATCTTTCTTCTGATAGCACTGGAAACTAGAAACACTGCACTGCAGGAGGTGGCTCTCAGATGCATAATATCCTAGTGACAACGGGCAGCCCCCCAATAACAGCAGCAGGAAAGCATGCCCTTTTAACACCAATTTAGGTTTTGAACCAAAACCACTCTGGACACAGAGATGACCCCGTTTTGCCCCCACGCACCAACCCACCCCCACCCCCACCCCGCCCTCCAAAGCTGTGGTAGTTAGCTTTTTCTTATTGGTTTGAAATGTCTGACATAGAGCTTTGTTACATGCTGTTTAGTATTAACTATTGACGAAGAATCAAAATGTTTCTTCTATACATTACTTTTTATGAAGATTTTTCTTCTGTTTCTGGAAACCTGATTCCATACCTAAGGACACTGCCGGTATCGTCTGCCTTAGAAATGAAATACAGGATTCAGTCTTTGAAATTCTGCCGAGTACATTGTTGAAATTTGTGAAACTAATTAGGAATACCCGAGTGGGGATTGGAGTCTGTGTTTTTGCACTTCAAAGGTATTTTCATAGGCACCAAACTGTAAAACACATATACCCAAAGAGTAAGCAGAATTTTATAATCTCACAGTTGGCTGTAGTAAACTTGTTTCTCAGTGGCACAAGTTCAAGGAGGCAGCCACAGGGAGTACAGACGTTCAGGGGACTGCGGGACCTACGGCTTCACTCTTTTTCTCAACTAGAAGCTCTCCTTGAAACTTAACAGTGAATTACATGCTCCCTTTCCACAGACAGCCTCCATTCTGACATTTCTGGGCTCTGTAACCCATTACCTATTTGATAGCTACAGGCATCCTTCTTGTCTGTGCAAAAAGTGCTCTCAGGGTTGGCCATTCAGGTGGGGAGTCTGATTCTGGCCCTTCGTGTATGCAAGACTGCTTGGTTTGTGAGCCAGAACATCAATTACATGGTCTTTTCTAAATTATGTTTTGTTATTTCCCTAATGTTATTTAAGCTTCATGGAACTTATTCTGCATTTGCCAAGTCTTTCCAGTGAATAAATATCTCCACAACCTATTGCTTCACTCTGGCAATAGAATTGTTGCAATTTGTGGGCAAAATTGAGCAAAGGCCTGACTTTCCCCACCCCCTCTGTAAAATGTCCAATATGCTGGCCTTCTTCCTCTTACACAAAGGCCTTGACTTGTTCTGTGTTATGGTAGCGCCTTGTCTCTGTCAGTACTGAGGAAAGATTTATAGAGAACAGTACTAAGCAAAGAATGGTTTAGCGGACATAACAGGGACATGCTGTCCACACACAGAGTCACTAATACTAAATAAATTAAGATACAAAGTGCTTAGAATAGTGCCTGGCACATAGGAAGTCATCTTGAACTAGGATTATCAGTTGTGTGAATTAAAACTTGTCATTCTTTTCCTCCATTTACATGAATAATTTTGTAATTCCAAAAGCAGCACAAGTATAGCTAATCATTCAGGTCTGCCTAAGCCAGAAGATTCAGAGGCTGAGCATCCAATGGCTCACGGATCCAATTATTTCCCCAAAGGATCTCTAAAACGAAAGGAGACCAAAGGAACTAACAACAGTTCTTATTCCATTTTGGGCCAGACATGCATTATCTCATTTATTCTTCCTAACAACCTTATCGTTTATTCACTCAATGCTTTTGTTTTGTTTGTTTGTTTGATTGTTTGTTTGTTTGTTTATTTTAAGCTCCCAGAGTGAAAGATTGCACAAAGAGCTCACAGTGACCCAGAATTGTCTCCCCATCTACACCGTGAGGCCTGACTTATGATATGTTAATAGGCTTTCCCCATTTTTTCCTTCATAGAGGGCATCAAAGTTTAGCTGCCTTAGCTACATGGCTTTGTGATTATATTCTCTTGACCACATCTTCTCTGGGAATTTTTGCCCTGGTTAGACTATATTATGATCATGTTGATGTTTTTCCACGTGGCCAATCTAGCCTGAAGCATTGCCAGGGGAATAAATTACCTTCAGAAGTATTGGGTTGGAGGTGGTAAAACAAAGGGAAAGGCTTAGGAAGAGACAGCTTTCCAACGGCTCTCGAGCTCGAAGAGGGCCCTGAGCAAACACTGTGTTTTTCGGTCTCCTGTGTGCGGCACAGCGCCTCATTCTGTAGCTGCTTGGTCATGTGGTTGTTGATAGTGGTGACTTAACCACTGTCTAGTTTTGGAGTCTCATAGGCTGAGGGGGAGTCCCAACCCCACTCTTTTGTCCCTTCTTCCGCCTCTCTTTCCCTCTACCTGTCCACTTTTGTGTTGCCAATTCATTTAGCCAGAGGAGTGACCCAGAGATCAAGATCAGGATCAAGAACCTGCTTTGTCTCTGGCAGTGGTTCTCAACCTGTGCGTCGAGACCCCTTTGGCGGTTGAAAAACCCCTTCACAGGGGACGCCTAAGACCATCCTGCATATCAGATATTTACATTACGATTCATAACAGTAGCAACATTACAGTTATGAAGTAGCAACGAAAATAATTTTATGGTTGGGTCACAACATGAGGAACTGTATTTAAAGGGCCAGAAGGTTGAGAACCACTGGTTTATAGTGATGTGGCACCGGTCGACATTAGTGTTCTGAGTGAGGGAGCAGCAGAAGAGGAGTTCTTTTGGAGACTGGTGCCTACTGATTTGAATATGCCAGGGACTCCTGTGTTGCTGTCAGCGTTGGGTCTGTTACTCTTTTGCTTACAGCCTGAGGGAACCAGCTGCCAGTGCTTTTTCAAAGATGGAGGTTTGATTCCTTTGAAATCATAGAATATTGAGCCAGTGGCACCCATTTTATAGTTGAGGAACTTTCACCCTAGATGTTGTGGGGCACCATAATCTGGCCAAAAGTACATGGCGGCTTAGTGGTGGGGTGGAACCAGCACCAGGACCAGAACCTCGCTATATCGTTCTCCTCCTTGTGAAAAGGCCCAATTTCTCCGAATAAATTAACCTTAGACTACTTTATGTCTGTGAGAGCTACTTTTTGTTCTTTATTACTTGTCCTTATCATATGCCTGCTTCTTTATGAAGATTATTTTTTTCATTTTAATTTAAACTACTTTATCTTTGTTAAAAAAAACTACAACCTTTTTTGTTGTTGTTGTTAATCCTCATCAAAGGGTATGTCTTCCATTTATTTTTACAGAGTGGAAGTGAGGGATAGAAGGAGGAAAGAAGAAAGAGAGAGAGAGAGAGAGAGAGAGAGAGAGAGAGAGAGAAATGTGAGCAACCATATTTTCTGATGAACTTTTATTCCTGGTAATTCATGATGAAACTCCTGAGGTTAAAAGAGAAAGAAAAGTAATTGAATTTCTGTTTTTCTTTACAGACACTCTGGAAAATGGATCCAATAAGAGGTGAGCAATAGGTTCTGATTTGCTGTTTGTGCTTTCCAGTGTTGCCATTGTCTGTGTAGCTGCGGTGGGTTTGATCGTTTTCTTTTTGTTTTGTTTCAATCCAGTGCAGCTAACAGGAAGGGGCTGAGCAAGGATGACACATATTGGAAGGAGATCAATGCTGCTATGGCCTTAACGAATCTCGCACAAGGAAAAGACAGACTGCAGGGAACCGCCAGCTGCATCATCCAGAAGTCGTCACATATAGCAGAAGTGAAGACAGTCAAAGTGCCCCTGGCCCAGCAGTTCTGACCGTCTGCGCGTTGCAGACCAGTGGCTGTCCTTCACGCAGAGTTTTCTCACAAATCCTCATCTTGAGAGCTGAAGCAGGAGTGATAATGGCTCCCTTTGAAATGTCTTCTTATTTTTAAATATCCTAAATATTTCATGTAGTTGCTTCTATAAAAGACATATAAATTATAAAAACCCTCACTTTAATCAAAAGTATTAACTTATTTTATGTTATTCAAACTATGCATACAATGTCTGCATTGCCATCACAGTAAGTGCCTTGCTTCCTGAAAATCAGCTACAACGTGGGCACAGCAGAGCAGCTATGCCTCAAAATGACAACGCCATAATGCTTCTTAGTCTCTGTGTGTCGTTCCAGATGGACCTGACCATTCCAGGACTGAAACCATAATTGCCAAAAGCCCTTGAAATATATTCAATAATTCACATGTGAAAACTTGGAAATCCATTCTGCCCAAAGGAAATGTTCCTTTAAAAAAAATTTCTGCCGTACTTAAAATTGTTCGGTGTTCTTTGCAGAGTGACAGTAAGACTTTTATGCATGTATCTTGCTTGCATATCTAGTACATTACAAACTTTCAAAATGAAAGGTGCAGTGATCACATAGTGTGTAAAATTAAGAAGAATCACAATGAATACGTTGTGATCAGAAAAGCTTTTTCCAAGCACTGCTAGAAAATACATGCCTTTTAGAGTTAATTTGGATTTTCTTTTTCTCAAGTTTTGCTGAAGTTTTTTAAAACAAATTATTATATAGATAACTCGAAATTTTTCTGTGTAGAAGTAAACTTATTGCTTAGTTTTAAAACATAAACTTGTTTGCTATTTTTGTAATGGAAATTGTTTTTCTTAAGGAATGGCTAAAAACCATTTATTTGGTTCATTTCAAATTACAATTGCTGATGGGCAATTTATTTTGCAATGAGAACAAGATAATGAAAGAAATGAATCTCT